TTCCTGGCATTTATAGAGCTGCTTGCCTTCTGCAGTTGATCTTCCTGGTGAAAGAAATTATTCTCCATCCAATTAATCTAATTAGAATGTAATCAAGTTGTAGAGATCTGTGCAGCAGTGTGAGTGATTAGGAAAAATTACCTCCCCGTGAAGAGTTTAAATTTAATTTTGGTTCTATAATCTAAAGACCAAATAAAGGGGACATACCATTTCTGCTGCAAATTCCACATTGTGTGGGACATTATATTCCAGGGGTGCTGGTGGAGGAAAGGGGAGCGGGTGGAAAGACAGCAGTTTTCATACATTTCCAGCTAGGACAAAATGGATAAAGAGTGGCAAAGAGGGAGGTTTTGAGATCCAAGTCGCATTGCAAATCACCCTCCCAGGTAGCTGAATTCCCTGTGTCACACTCTTCTTTCTGATCAAATGCAGCCTGCCCCTGGCAGTTTGGGTTCTAAAAAAAAACATGGAGAAAACAATAAATCAGCCATGTAATGTGTGGGTTGAATCACTGCTCTGCTTAATTTGGATCCCACCTGGTAGAGTGGTTAGAACATTGGACTAGGATTCAGGAAATCAGGGTTCTGGTCCCCACTCAACCATGAAGATCAGTTACTGTTTCCCAGCCTACTCTACATCACAGAGTTGCTGTGAGCATAAGAGGGGCTGGGGGCATGTATGCTACCTTGAGCTGTTTGGAGCAGGGGTAATGCATACTTTGCCATGATGTAACTTCTATCTTTGAGCCTGGATCTGGACTGTTGTTTCTTTTACCCCTCACGAAGGTACAGCTTCCAGCACCCTTAACAGACTACAGCTCCCAGAGCTCTTTGGGGAAAGTGATGTGCTTTAAATGTATGGTGTGTACACAGCCTAGTTGCAAGTGAAATGAGGAAGGGGAGAACCAGATCCACCTTTCCCAGACTAGGACTGCTTTTGGTTTATACGTGTTAGGAAGCAATTTTCCTCCTGACTAGGCACATTCTGTGCTCTCTGTTGAAGCTTGACTATCAGTTCAGGCTCAACACATGTGTTGACAATTCAACAGGTTTATTAAGAGGGTTTAGATAGAGCTTCCTGGCAAAACTGCAGCAGTTCTCCTAGACTAAACGAAGAGAAAGCAGGAGAGGGTGTTCTGGAGGTTGCTTTGCTTTGCTTTGCTTTGCTGAATATAACACGTGTTTGAGCAATATTGCATGATCATGATCTAACTCCAGGACATGTTTGCAGGAAAGAGCCTTTAATGGGTTGCACTGTCAAATGATCCAGAGGCAACTACCTTGCCCCTGTCACCACTGCAAGGCTCTCTTCATAAGGCAAGGCCTAGCCTCCATTCATACTTTCAGCAGGGAGCTGAGGAAGAATAGCACAATGGACTAGTTCACCATGTAGAGAGACATCTGGCTGCCACAGAGGAAAGAGAGGAGAACCAAAGGCCCTCCTCTATCATCTTAGCCAAGAGATCAGCTGGGTTGATCCCTCTCCATAAAATGCCATCTATTGTCCATCCCTAGGGTGAAGTCACCAGAAGGAGGTGCCCTTTAAATGTTTCACTAGGATTGCAGGAGGCCCTTCCCTGTGGGATTCATCACATGGTTCTTGTGTAGCTGTCCTCCTGCTTCAGGTGTCACACAGGGAGGGCATCTGGAAGATAACACGGGTGGTCCCAGAAACAGAGTCTTGCAGCAGTCGAAATAGAAGAGAAACACAAGAATTAAGATCAAGACACATTCAAAAATCTAATCACAGGCGTGTTATGAGAAGCATCGTCAAAGTAGCCATCCAAAGTCAAAGCGCAGGTCAGGTAACCAGCAGGACAGCAGGTACCCACTAGTCCAGTGTTTCCCAACCTTTTTTGGGCAAAGGCACACTTGTTTCATGAAAAAAATCTCGAGGCACACCACCATGCCAGATGGGGAAAGGTCACTTTTTACTTATGTAAAAAAAAATAAAAAAATAGTAACTTCCAACGAATTCTGTAGGTCTTGTTTCTGAATCATTAAAGCTGCATTTGGGAAGGATTCGTAAGGGCGCACAGCAACTCAGTCCCACCAACTCCACAGCAGGGTTCTCAGGTTCAGTGAAGGGCTCCCTCAGGGGGGCACATATATACACCTGGGCTCCCGAAAAGCTACCGCAAGAGCCCTTCAGGAGTTCACATAGCGCAGGCCTGAAGGCTGCAGCTTCCCACTTAGCATCCCGCCAGAGGAGGAAACCTCAAGTGGTCGACCTGTTTTTTCCCCCTCCCGCCTCCCTTTTGGAGCGCAGAGTTTTGAAGGCCGGCATCAACTCCGTTTTCCCGGATACTTCCCACTCGAACCGAGGGCTGGGTGAAGCAAGGGCGGCGCTGCGCGTTTTACCTCCACGGCGCAGGGGCTCTGGCTCGCCTTCAGCCACCGCACAACAGCGCTGGCTGCCACTTCGTCCTGCAGCAACAGCTCCAAAACAGCCGCCATGCCCACCTCTCTCCTCCTCTAGCACTACCGTGCGGGCGAGCCTCCGGGGCGGGCGCACAAGGAGCGTGGGCGCCACCCCTCGACGCCGTCCCAAAAGCCGCCAAAAAGCCCTAAAAAAAGAGGAGCAGCAAAAAAAACACACCACACACGGGGGGCGTGTTCTAATTCGCTTCTAACTCCGGGTTAGAGCGCAGCACGTGGAGGATGGGTGGGGAAAGAGAGAGGAGGCGCACTGATAGAACGCCAGGCACGGGGGCCGCCAGGGAGAGCCAGCGCGCGCCCCGCCCTGGACGCTCGCGGCCACCGCCGTCCCTCCCTCCCAGGGAAGGCGGGATTAGAGCAAGCGCCCGGGCAGCAAGAAGCACGCGCGCGCGCCGGCCCTGCCCTGGATCCCTCAGAACCGCCAGTCTCTGGGAAAGTGGGCGTGGCTTCAGAACTCTCAGGCAGCAGCGCCCGCCGCCCGGCAAGGCTTCCCATTGGGAGGCGCGAATGCTTTAGTGGACGGGGATTGGCGCAAATATAGGCAGGGCGGGCTGAGAGGAGGAGCCGCCGCCAAGGAGCAGCGGCACCAGCAGCGTTTCCTCTCCCCCCTCCCCTCCCGTGTCAACAAGCGGGGCGCCTGCGCCGGGGGTTTGCGCGTCAGGCAGGCAGCCAGGCAGGCAGACGGCGAGAGCCCCGCGCTGGGCGGCCTCTCCTCGCCGCCGCCGCCCCGCCTCTCGACTCGCCCGCCTCCCTCCCACGGCACACCAGGCAACGTCTGGCGGCACACTAGTGTGCCGCGGAACACCGGTTGGGAAACACTGCGACTAGTCAAGGAACTATTGCAAGGATGTTGCTCCAATATTCTGTGTCTGCAACTAAAGCTTTTTAATCTTGAGTCTTCATAGCCCCCATGCAGAACACAACTGCATGCCATATGGGTTGCCCAATGATTTGCTTTGCTTGTGAGAAGTAGCTTACTCATGAATATCCCTTTACTCCTGTCCTGAGGAGTCCATGTTCTTCAGGGAAGGACTCCTGTGTCTGGGAGTTGACTGAGCCCATACTTTTAGATGCTGGTATTCCTTAAGACTCAATGGCCATTCGACTTACGCCTCTGATTACATGAAGGGGCTATCCATATATTGAGGAGCAGGTTGGATTGCTGTGACCCCTGAAGGCCCTGTGTCCCCCCCCCTCTTCTTCAGTGTCACTTGGCATGGGCTTCTTCTCTGCATTTGCCCTGGGGAGTTCATACTCTAAAGAGGATTCTTCAAGTAGGGTCATGGCAGTAATGTTTAAAAGCACACATCTCTCTCTCTTTCTGTGTGTGTGTGTGTGTGTGTGTGTGCACGCGTGCAAATACACTTGTGTCTTCAGGTCTTTCTCCAAATACTGACACCCTGTGACTTCTGCAAGACTTTCAGCATGACTGTTAATTAGGGTTGCCATATTTCAAAAAGTATAATTCCTGACACCCGCAAAGTCGTTCAGCTTTTTATAGGAAACCACCAAAATACCGGTAGTTGAGTGGTTTTTTGGATGTGTGTGTTTTTGTTTTTTGAAACTTACCCCCCCCCAATAGTGATTTGATTTCAAGCTCCTTTGGCTGTTTCTGCTGCTTTTGCTATCGTGTTGCCATACACCTGTGTTTTCCCTGACATTTTTACACCCCAGAACCAGGAAATGTCAGCAATTTCCCTGATGTATGGCAAGCCTGCAGTTAAGCCATAAAGACTCTCCTCCCTGAAAGAGAGGGGAGGGGTTGTGGTCGGGGCCCGAGCTCCGGCTAGCAGGGGGCGTGGCCCCCTGCCCGCCCGCTCACCTGGCTGGCGCCCACGCCCCCTCGGTGGCCATCCAACCAGGAGCCATGGAGGGGGCGTGTTCAGCAGCATTTTGCTGCGGCGCCAGCCTTTCCCGGCCTCATTCCCCCGGACGCCCCTTTTGTGCCCGCCTTGCCAGATTGTCAGTTGGTCTGAAACACCCACTCCACAGGGTTCGCCTCCCCAGGTCGGTCAAGGCGGACCTCGAGGTGTGGTCAGCCTTTCTGGGTAAATACAACGGGGTTTCCCTTTGGCAGGATGTTTTGAATCTGTCATCAGACTTTCAGGTCCAATCGGACGCAGCAGGGTCTTTAGGCTTCGGCTTGTTCTTCAAGGGGCGCTGGTGCGCACAGCGTTGGCCGCCAGCATGGCAGGGTCAGGCCATCACGCGGGATCTCACCTTTCTTGAGTTTTTCCCAATAGTGGTGGCCGTTCACATCTGGACGGAGGAGTTTCGAGATCACCGAGTGTGCTTCAGGACCGACAACCTGGCGGTGGTGAACATTCTTGCCAGGCAGTCATCTCGTTCTGCAAGGGTCTCCTCCCTTCTGCGGGCGTTCGTCCTCCGTTGCCTTGAGTACAATATTGTATTTTCTGCCAAATTCGTACCCGGAGCCAATAATGATATAGCCGACGCCTTATCTCGATTCCAGATACCTCGCTTTCGGTCGCTCGCTCCTGGAGCACAACTGTTGCCCGAGCCCTTTCCGGAGTACCTGTGGAACGTTGGAGACGCAAAGTGATGCAGGGAGTATTAGCGTCCGTGGCCCCCTCCACGCTCAGGTCCTATAAGAAGGCCTGGAGTGATTTCCTGGGTTTCAGGTTTGGGTTATCTGGGCTGACACATAATGTACCTCCCACTACTGACGACGTCCTGCAGTACCTGTCCCATCTGGACGATCTCGGACGTGCTACGAAAACTTTAAAGATTCACGTAGCAGCCATCAGCTTCTTTTCGAAGGCGACTTTTGCGCAAGACCCATGTAGCGATTTCCTGATCCGTAGGGCCATTGAGGGTTGGGGCAGGTTGCAACCGCCGAGGGCTGTCGGCCGTAAGCCGATCTCTTACGGATTGCTATCCCAGATACGCGTAAAACTGAGGACAATTTGCTGGTCCAGGTTTGAGGCACGGCTCTTCTCCGCAGCATACGCTGTAGCCTTTTTTGGTGCGCTCAGGGTTGGTGAGGTGGTGTGTGAAATTAGCGCGCGGGGCTTAACTCGTGGCCTCCTGTGCGAGGACGTACAGCTGTCCGAATCCTCTGTGTCAGTACTTGTACGTCAGTCCAAGACTGATCAGGCTGGCAAGGGTGTCCTGCTCAAGCTCTCGGCGTCGGCCCAAAAGGGCCCATGTCCAGTAAAAGACACCAGGCGGTACCTCTGCCTCAGACCAGCTGTCCCGGGTCCATTCCTGATCCACGAGGATGGGTCGCCCCTGTTGAGGTATCAATTCACGAGAGTATTGCGCAAGGCTATTGAGGCTTGTGGCCTTTCCTCCCAGGAGTACGCTGCGCATTCGTTTAGGATCGGTGCCGCTACTACGGCCGCGCACCTGGGGTTACCGGCGGAAAGGATAAAAGAGCTGGGCCGGTGGAAATCCAATGTTTATAAATCATATATTCGCTAGTTTGTGCCTACCCCTTAGACTTACCCTTCCTTTTGTTTCTATCTTTACCCCCAACTATGCCCGGAGGAAGCGTGTGGATTTGCGGCCACAGTATAGTTCATTGGGCCCGCGTGCGAGCGGTTAGCTGCGGCCTGGGACCCAATCTTGGTCTGCCGCGGGGTGTTCGAGTTTCCTGGTTTTCGAGAAGAGGCATGTGTTGGGAAGAACTGTTGCCCTTGCTATGGGAGAAAGTAGCCAAGCTCGGCCCTCCCGACGCCCTGGTGATTCATTTGGGGGAGAATGACCTTGTCAACAAAAGGAGTGTGGACTTGTTGTCGAGCATAAAGAGAGACTTGAATGCTTTCGCAGCCTTGTGTCCCAGAACAAAGGTGTTCTGGTCCTCCTTCCTGAAAAGAACTGTGTGGCGCGGTGCGCAAAGCTGTATGGCCATTGAAAGAACCAGGAAACCCGTAAATCGGGCGGTAGCCCGTTGGGTGCGCTTTATGGATGGCCGAGTGATTTATCATGACCGTAGCCGGATTAGCGATCAAGCTTTATACCGGGATGACGGTGTCCACCTATCGGATCTGGGGAATGACTTGTGGTTAGCTAGTGTCAGCAAAAACATCTGGGATTGGTTACAGCCTTGAGGGTATTGGCAGCGAGCCTTTGGCTCGGGTGGCGGTTAGGCATTGGAATAATGTGTTGCGCTGTGTGGAAGTGCTAGGTGTGGCCATCGCCTATGCCTTCAATTTTTAGGGGTATTCCGTTAAAGGAATCTGGGGGTCGTGTATTCCGTCCGATGCCTGCTTGGCGGGAGGCCTTGGCACGACCCTCGGTGACAGCAGGGGTGAGCCTATAGTTGGATTGGCATCAACAGGCTCCACCTACTGGTGAATAACCCACTTGTTTCGATCCAATGCCTAAGCCAATACCTTTTCAATTGCAGTAACCAATAAAGTTGTGGCCTTTCCTAGCCCATTAACCTTACATCACGTGTCCTTGTGTCTTTATTTCACTCCGCCTGGGTCGGGTCCTCGAACCACAACATGAGTCCATGGAGATGTTCTTCCTGGTGGTGGGTGGTGCCCATTAGGACTGATAGTGCAGAAGGTAGAGATGCCAAACACTGGCTAGAGCTAAGGACAGGAAGAGCCAACTAAGTCTACTTTTGCCCCCATCCTCTCCCTGCTGAGTTTAACAAGGACGACACTGAGATTAAGAAGGAGGAGGAGGAGAAAGCTGATGGGCAGGACTAACTCCTGGATTGCTTGTAAGTAGGAAGGCAGGCAGCTGGGGACTGATTACAGGCAGACTAAGGTTGTTAGGACAATGCCCTTTTTGCCCTAAAATGGACCAGCCTCCACTAACAATTCCCACAGTGCTCCTATAATGTATAAAGGGCATCTTACGCAGTTTGCTCAAAAGCAGAGGCTGTGCAGTGAAGCTTCGTACTTTCCCCCTTCCGTCCCTCAGACTGAGACAAATCTCCAGGAAAATTCATTACGCGGTTTAAGTGACAGTATTTATCATTCCATTCGAACGTTCAGACTCACAGCTCTCCTCGCTCTCACACAGGCATGTCCATTATAATTTGTTTCGTTCATATTTTCCCCCTGAAGTTAGGCTTCAAGAGTGATGGGTTGAAAACAAAGAACAAAGTGAGGAGGAGCTTGGGGCTAAAAGCACAACAATGGGCTAATTTGTGGCCCGTTGCTTTTTTTCATAGGGGGGTGGCAGACAACAGTTGTAAACAATGGTTCCTTTAAAAAAAAACCTGCCATTCCGTCACATGACAAGGAAGAAAGCAAAACAACTCCTTGCATCCCAAAGGCAATTTTCAATCTTGTTGCAACTACATGATAACCCAAGAATTCATAAGAACATAATAAGAGCCCTGCTGGATCAGGCAACGGGTCCATCTAGTTCATCACCCTATTCTCACAATGGACTAAGAGATGCCTATGGAAAGCCTGCAAGCAGGAGTTGGGTATAACCGTGCTCCCCCGACTTTCAATTTCCAGCAACTGTTTGGAGTATGCTGCCTCTGACAGTGGAGGTAGAACATAGTCATTATGGCTAGCAGTCTTTCTTTTCCATGAAACTTTCTTTTCTAATCCTCCTTTAAAACCAGCCATCCTTACCTCTTGTGGTTGACAAATTCTGTAACTTGGCTATGCATTGTGTGAAGAAGTATTTTCTTTCTTTATCCATGGTTTATTAGGGCTTTCACGTTATTACAACAGAACTGTACCATCCCTTAGTCTTCCCCGCTCTCCGCTCCCTGCTTCTCTCTCCCCCTCTGACCTCCTGCCCTGCTTTTAGTAGTGTATTTTCATCTCTGTTACTCGGTTTATTTTGGCTGTCCTGGTTTTCCAAAACTCAGCTTCATTGGATGTACAATGGTACCTCGGGTTAAGTACTTAATTCGTTCCAGAGGTCTGTTCTTAACCTGAAACTGTTCTTAACCTGAAGCACCACTTTAGCTAATGGGGTCTCCCGCTGCTGCCGTGCCGCCGGAGCACAATTTCTGTTCTGTTCTCATCCTGAAGCAAAGTTCTTAACCCGAGGTACTATTTCTGGGTTAGCAGAGTCTGTAACCTGAAGCGTATGTAACCTGAAGTGTATGTAACCCGAGGTACCACTGTACCACTGTTATGTTCTAGCATAACGAGAGAGGGAGAATAAGTTATCTCTATCCACTTTTTCCACACCATGCCTAAATTAAGACACTTCTATCAGCTCCCCTCTTGAATTACATACTTGGATGCTGTCCTCTCTTTCTAGTCCTTCCAATCCAGTCATAGGCAAACTTGGCCCTCCAGATGTTTTGGGACTACAACTCCCATCATCCCTAGCTAACAGAACCAGTGGTCAGGGATGATGGGAGTTGTAGTCCCAAAACATCTGGAGGGCCGAGTTTGCCTATGCCTGTTCCAATCCATTGCTTCATCTATGTCCTTTTCTCATCTCTTTTCTTGTGCCTTTTGTGTGCTCTTCTTTGCAAGCTGATGGGAGCTGTAGCCCAATAATGCCTGGATGTTACCACATTGACTACCCCAATATACATCAGCAATGGCAGTAATGATGGAAGAAATAGTACAAAGATAGATGAATGACCTGGTCATATTAGACTGTAGCCAACAAAAATCTACTTAGCGTTGACACATTTTAATCAATTACCTTGTTACTTATGTCCATTGATTTCAATGGGGCTGAATAACATTGGTCATAGTAAAACACTGTAAATTTGTGTGTTACAAGACTAGAATGGAGCTGAGACAAATCCCCTTATTTGCAAGCTGTTTGCTAGTTTCTTGCCTAGCTACTTCTTCTTAAACCTTATCATGTTTCCCCTAGCCACACCTTCTCTCTGGCTTTTTCCTTCCTCAATCCCCACAGGGAATTTTCTCAGCAGATCTTCCACTTATAAAACCTTTGGGTTGCATATGTAAATTTTACATGCTTTGGCAATTGGATCCTCGTTACACTGGAAGGCCACCCATTAATTCTTATACAAAGACAAATTCTCATTGAGTCTTTGGTCATCATGAGGCCCTGGGAACCCATTAATTCCCATCAGTGCTATCATCTGTCACCATCAGATAGTTTAAGAGACCTAAATCTTGCAGACCCTTATAAACCTCTTGATAGAATAGCTTTTAAGATAAAAATCTGAGTTATTCCTTTCTTCTTTTATTAAGATGGTAAGTTATTTATAGGGGATAATATCAGTGGTTTGTTTATTTTTCTTTAAAAAGTGCCTCTAAAGTGGATCCATAAAATATTAATCCCCCCATGCTTGTATGTAAATTCTATACATGTACTGGAGTGAACAAAATAGTCTAGAAATAGGAAGACGGTACTGGGATCCAGCAATCTGTTCTAGTTGCAAAAGCTCCAGTGTGTGGATGGAACCACCCTCACCCAGTCATTTCAGTGAGGAGAGCTGCTCTGTATCCACATGCACTCTAATGTCCAAGGGATGAGAGACTTCAAGGATGCCAGCACCTCTCCAGAGTTTGGTTTCCTAGGAGTGAATGTCAATGGAGACTGAAGTGTCTTTAGGATATATGGTTTTATTGACAAATATATACAAACTGAGGACAGGCTGAAAGGACTCACAATGTTAACACTCCAACAGATCCCCATTATGTTTCCAGGAAGGTTGCTAAGCCATACCTTTGGGTCCAGCACAGATCAAGGACAGTCTCTGTGTCTCCAGCTTCCAACTCACACACAAACTCTGGCTATTGTTCTTCCACCTTAGAAAGTGATGTTGTTTCCAACTCAGTGAAGCGGGGAGTAGGTTTGCCCCAGTTTGTCTCTATGGCAGCAGGGCAACCTGCTTGGACATAGAAATGGTGGTACTCAGCTGGCCAGCTAAAGCCATAATCTTACAAATCTTACAAACCAGATTCTGACTGGTTCAGCAGCTTCTTCTACTAGATTCTAAGCCTCACTGGATACAGAACCAGAGGCCTGGAAGGCACCCATAAATATAATCCAGACTGACACCCCCCAAAAAACTCCTATAATAATATATTTTGTGCTTCTAGGTTAGTGGGTCCTTCTTTGAAATTGTGGAGGAGGGGTCTGCATCCATATGAAATTCATCTTTACATCAAGGTCTTCCCACTTTCCATACAAGTCATTTATTACGTAATAAGTGCACATCAGGGCCATAGAAAGCTTCCTTTTACTGGCTGAGATCATGGCTCCATCTGGCTCATACTAGCTCCAGGGTTTCAGTCAAGGGACAGTCCAAGCCCTACTTGGACGTTGAACCCAGGATTTCCTGCCTGCAAAACCCTTCCCCACTTTTGCACAATCTGTATGTCTTGCCTCAAGCATACTCATGGCCATGGGGATGTTGCATGTTTCTTGTACCACTAGAAAATGCAATCCTTTTCTCAGGTAGCATGTTGATTACCACTGTGATTGCTATATGGAAGGTGACTGGCTGTGCAAGTGTCAGGGACACTTATTGTTTGTGACAGGAAGATGTCAGTCTCCAGCTT